TACAGTACTCCCTTCCAAATTAGTATACTGAATCTGGGAACTGCTGCTATAAGAACCCTACTCACTCCCCTACCCTGAAAAAAGGTTTGCTTTCTGGAGTATCTCTGGGCCCAATCTTCAGCACTGCCCAATTGAAGAGCTGTATGTCTACTTCTAATTACATTTCTAAAGACAGATGTGTCCCCAGAGACTGGGAGCTAGTAGTTACTGTTCCTATCATCAGAAAAGGTAGGAGGAGGTAGGATCCAGCAAACTGGATTTGTTAGCCTAGTCAGCACAGAGTAAGTGCTACTGCAGATACCTCTACTGAAAACTAAGGAATTAGCTTGAACAAGAAAACCATCTAGCGAAGGAAAACAGGCTAGACTCAGAGAGGTACCATTGGCAAGTTCACTTGCACAGCTCCAACCCCCTTCAAGACAGAGGTCGGCAGCTTCTATACAGTGGCAGGCAACTACTGATTACCAGCTAATCAGGCTCAACCCACCTTACCTTGCTTGTTTTTAGCCTCCAGTTATTCAGTTGTACAGTACAACTTTTGGTGCCACCACTTAGTATTCTTTTAAGCCTTTTCAGATAACACAGTACATTACCTCACGATATTTTATTCAACACTGAACCTTAATTACAGGTTTAATTTTAGTTAACCCTGTAGCACTTTGAGATAAAAGACCATAAAATCTGAATCACTAATCTTGTAAATCTATAGTCACTGTCCTTACACATTTTAGACAAAGATTGTTTTTTATGTTATAATTGTTAATTTCATAGCTGTTTTTATGTTATGCTGATCAAAGACCAAAATAAAGATATTGCAGTGAAAAGGCAGATGTATCCAAGCCTGGATTACCAGACTGTTGTTCACTGAATTTATTGAATATTGCCATCTGGCTCCAAAAAGACTCTGGGTGCCTTCACAAGTTAAAAGAAACATTCTGTTAAACACCAAGCATGCAAGGGACAGCATAATCCTCAACCACATCAACCCCTACCCCATGGCTTGGGGAAGGAAAAATATTTTTTTTAAAGGTAGGCAAGATGGAGCTGTACAAATCTCTGGAGGAAAGCTATTCCAGGGGGTACATGCTGTGACCGGAAGGCCTCCTTTCTGGGTCTCACTAGATGATTGATGGGCCCAAAGCAAGCCAATTCAGTCAAACACAAAGTATCCAGAAACGGTGATATTTTTCTACTTCAAAACAGCTTGGCACTGGGATACTTACACAATACCTTTCTCCCATATATGGTCATTCCATAAGATTTTCTACATCCCATCAAGACTTGAATTGTGTAGCTGGGTTACAGGAAATGATCTTTCTAGATCGTGGAACTTTCTCCCTTTTTCCGAGTTTCTCTTTTTTGGTACCCTTACAAACCCTGGGTTTTTCATATGGTAAAAGTAGAATATGTAGGTTAGGTTCATTTAATGTTTTGATATATTTGAGAAAAATCACCATAAAATCCCTCTATTTTTTAAAAATTGCTTTCTCCACACTGTATGCAGATATATTTTTAGTAAGAAATATAGAGACACAACATTACTTTGACTATGCCAATAGTGGGAAAGGCTCTAGCTGCACACCAGTATTACTTCCATTGATACAGCAGTGTCTGATTGTATTTTAAAACAATTTAAAAGCCCACATATTTTCTTTGTGTTTGTGGTTTCTCATTTCAGAAATTATTCAAGCAGCAGACCAAGTAAATTTGAAAATAAAGCTCTGACACTGCTTCAAAATTTCTATATCCTTTATTTTTAAGCAACAATCCAGCTTTCAAGATACAACACACATTTAGAAGGATGAGATTTTCTACCTCCTATTTAAGCACCAGCATGATCATGCAAAGTATTGGAGTCATTTGGACTGGGAATGTATCCCAAAAGTTTTATCCACCCAATACTTTTGTAAGATGCATTCCATCATCACAATGGGGCCTGATATTCAGAGAACAGTCATAATCTTACATCTTTAGCTTTATCTTCAGCACTGGCCTCATCCTGTCATGGCTGAACCACTTGTTGAAGGCAGCATGGGTAATTACTAGCATCACAACTTGACAGTTCTGCAATGCACAACAGGGCTTCAAACATTTGCCAATTATTGAATGGTACCTTGGAAAACCAGTATGTGTTGCAGAGATGGGTGCAGAAAGAGTACATTTGTCACTCATCCTCTGCCCGTACAACCCCAGTTTCCAACCCTTCTAAGTCAACTAAGACTGTTCTACAAGTTTTAAGACAAAAATGCCACTTAGCACACTCAGAATCAATCCAGTTTAGTTTTAGATACTACTATACACCTCAAATCTTTTGTCAGCCATGGGCTGTATAGCAAATACCACCGCTACCATTACGAAAAAAATTACACAAGTCACTTCCGTTAGACTCAAAAGAGACAAGACAAGAAGTTTGAGGAAAGACTTCCTGAAAAACAAAACAAAAATATGAAGTACATAAAGTGCTCCTTTAATGATAAGTTTCAGAAGTACAGTCAAGCTCAGGTTGTGCAGTTCACAAGCATGGAAGAAAAACAAAGATGACAGATATGAGTTCCAAGTAGTTAGGAGTGAAGGAAAATCAAGCTTAACCAAGCACTAGACTAGACTTCCCACCCGGTGGATTTCTCCTAGATGGTGCAGGTGCTGGAGCTACTGGACTAGGAACAGGTGCAGCTGGCAGGGGCTTTTCTTCACTTGGGCCTGAAGCAGTTTCTATTTCAACTTCTGTGTTTTCTGAGAAAAAAAACAAGATAATGACTATATAGAAACAGAAACATTCCCCCTCTTATCTGAGCAACTTTCACTTTTGGCAGGAAATAAGGAAGTAAGAATCATATTAGGTCTCCTATTCTGAATCCTACATACAGTGCATTCAGAAAGTATTCAGACCCCCTTCACTTTTTTCAATTTTGTTATGTTGCAGCCTGATACTCAGTACTTTGTTGAAGTACCTTTGGCAGCAGTTACAGCCTCGAGTCTTTTTTGGTATGATGCGACAAGCTTTGCACACCTGGACTGGGGGATTTTCTGCCATTCTTCTTTGCA